CATCTTCTGGGAGAGTCCTCCCCTGGGCGCGGGATTCCATTAGCTTCCAAGCCTACAGCCATGCTGTATTCAAGCTCAGGTCTCTCTTCAGATTGTGCGTTGATTGACCCTGTTAACCAGCTCACTCTAAGCTATTTCCTAAGAGTGAAGCTGGTGTTGGCACCAGCCCTGCTGTTCCACCAGTCACTCGAAGGAGCCCAGGGCACAGGGGGACTCCTTTCCTAGAGGGTCAGCATGATGTCTGGTAAGGCACATAGCCAGGCCCTGCCTCTCAGCCCAGTGCATCGCTGAGGGCACATTGCTGTCTTCACAGGCCCTGCCTCTAACCGGAGGCTTCTCTGTCCTGCCCTGTCCCACAGCCACTTACAATAATCACTCAGACGCTTAATATTAATTACAGGATGTTTGGCCTGCAGTTCAGACTTATTACTAACTTGCTCTTACATTTAAATTAACCCATTTGTGGAAGCCACCTTTTTGGGGTGAGTTTTGCCAGGCTCCTAACCACGGCGGGTTCTTATGTTCCAGGGTAGGGCTTCCAGGGTAGGGGCGTGAGGATTAGAAACCTTAGGTAGGAGGAACAGAGATAAGAAAGAAACACAGAGACATAGGATAGTATCGGGAGGGCCACTCAGTGCCTCTTGCACATTAAGTTCTGAGTGCTGAATTTGCCTGTGTTTTTCCCCCACACTTTTATAGCCCAATACAAAAGGGAGAAGAAGGCAAAAGACCGCTTTAACATGATACAGTGGACAACCAGAACAGTTACTTGCTCCAGTACTTGAGACACCAAGCCATTAATTCTTGAGAAAAGTATTCTATTATTCAGGCAGTGAACCACCCCCAGACCAGGTACCCTAAGGCCAAACCTCCTATTTCAAAAGAAGGAGCAGAAGTATGCTTAAATTCTCTGACCTTTGATCAGGATGGAAAGGATACACCTCTATGGGCCATCTTAATGTCTAAAACACCAAGTAACTACACCCTAGGTCAGGGTGTGTAGCTATACTTGTTAACAACTTTGAATAGGCTCAAACTCTCTGCCCTGCAGACCAGGTGGAATAGGCTCACATTTTGGGGCCTCCACGCCCATTTTCATTAATCTGTGCACTGCCATGTGGCCGTGGCATTTACCAGGCTGTCTTGTGTACCCCTAAACTCTGCCCGTCTTTCTCCCTGTATTCAGTTTGGCTTGCCTGCCTCGCTGTAGGCCAAAGCAGCTTTTATTATCAATCAATGAGAGAAAAATATATTTCCAGCGTACAGAAGGGTTGTCCTCCAGCACCTGCCTCTTAGTCAATAAATGATTGTCCCACCTGGGAAATAAGGTGGGGAGTGACTGTCAGGCTAAAACATGATACTTCTGGCAGGGCCGCCGTGGTGTCCAAGGCAGAGGCAGGTGGATCTCTGTGCGGTCAAGGCCAGCCAGGTCTCCAGCGTTCAGGACAGCAGGTGTACAGAGAAACCCTGTCTCAAGAAACAAAACAACAACAACAAAAAAAAAAAAAACAAGCCATGATACTTTTGGATTGGAGAAAGGCTACCTCTCACTTTGTGGATTTGGGCAGGCTGTTAGCTTGCTTGCTTCTGAAGTCACTTCCCACCTGTGATCCAGGGTCTGGCTGTGGGAAGAAACTTCCTGTTGTTTGGGTGTACACCCTGCCACTCAAGACTGAAGAGGTGTAATCTTTGTCTTGTTCTCTTTTAGGGCCAGTATGGAAATTACCAGCAATAAGGGACGAGCGTTGTCTTTGGACCCTTCACGGTAGTACGTTCTGGACGAGCCAGTGGCAGTTCTGATGAGTCATGACATGTTGGTTACCCTGCGCCCAGTGCCATGTCTGCAAGTGACGCAGGCTGATTTCATGCTGGGTATGATGCTGCGCGTGCACGACTGGCTGCGATGGTGTGACGTATTTGGTGCTGTGTAAAGTATTGTATATCGACACAATGGAGAGGTTGTCCTGTTTTTGTCCCTCACCCCCTCCTCAATGTTCTTAGCTAGCTCTGGGGGTCACACTGTCATCACATGTTGTGTGCCCAGTGATGAGACAATATCTAAAAGGTACCATGATCCATGTTACTGTGAACAGACCTGGTGTGCTCCTCACACCATTGTTGCAAAGTGGACTGTGTTTCTTTACCTGACTGCCCTTAGCTTGACACACATATACAACCCTGGGTGGCCATCTCTTCCTGTGCCTAGATAGGGCTTGGGGATACCACTGTGTCTTGGGCTAGTTTTGTGTTATTGTAACAAAGAAAATGTGCTTTGTGTGGAAAGATGATGAGCTATCCTTTCTAGAACTAACCCATTGCCTGTGTCTCTCCACTCCTAGTGATCCTAAAAAGTCTATGTCTTTAAACGGTGAAGAGGGATCAGTGTCCATGAGGGCAGCGTGAGGGTGACCTGTCCCAGGGAGGGCAGTGTTCTGAAAAGCAAGGCTCACTGTCTACCAGCTGTGTGTTTATTTAATGTCATTTCAAGAGTATGCCCAGTCCTAAACTTAAGGAGAATTGAAAGTACCGATGCTAAATTTTACAAGCAGTTGACAAGTGTTTCTATTACTTCTTCAGGACCTCCAAGTTCAGATTGCCAAGCAAGTGTCCTTTGCATTAGGGAAATCTGAAATCCACACCGTATCTTTAACAAGTCTAAATAGCTTTATTAACGTTCTTTTAAATGAAAAGTACACGTTTTATATAGTGAAATTTGAGTGATTTTCCTTTTTCTTTTTTTCTTTACATCCCTAGGATGTTCAATCTCATTTTAATTCTGTGCAAAACACGAAACACAGCCTTTTTGGAAAGTTAATGTCAAAGGAAAATACCACATATAATGTAGCATTGGCATCTCTCAGCCTTCATTTGGATAATAATCATGTTACTATGAAAAGGGGAAAAAAACCTTCAAGATAAGTGCTGGTGTATGTATTTCTAAGAACAACTAAGAAGATACAAATACAAACACACACAAATACACGCGTGCACACACAGACACACACACATGCATCCAGGGCCTGATGCATCGGGCCTATCCAGTGTGAAGCTTTTGTTTTATTTGTATTTTTAGACAAGGTCTTAGCGTAGCCCAGACTGGCCACAGACTCACTGCTGCAGGCTAAGGCTGACCTTGAGTTTATGATCCTCCTGCCTCCGCTTTGCTTCCCAGTTACTGAGTGTACAGGCATGCACACCTGGTGGTTCAGTTGATAGTTTTTAAAACATAAAACTTACCGGTAGCTCAGTGGGTGAGGATTTGCAAGGCACTTTTGTGGGTTTTACTTGAATTAATCTTGACAGCCTTCCTGGGAAGTACAGAGCAAGGACTGTTTCACTTACAGATGAAGACTGAAGGACTGGACTGTGTTGGCTGCAGTCCTAGTCTAGAACATTCTTCCTCTCCTGTGGGGCTGACACCAACAAGCGTGGGCAGATGTATCTCGTAGGCTTAGTGTGTAGGAATCCCTTAACACAGGCAAGGCTGGCTGTGTGACGGTATTAACTCTACAGAAATGAGTTTGATTGCTAAGTGACGCAAGCATTTGGCAACTTCATTTTAGGGAGTCATCTCTTTTGCTCCTTTCTTTCCTGGCAATTTTTATAAAACTCGTCTCCAAGCTCAATTGGGGCCTAAAATTTCCCGTTGAAAATGTCGAAACATTTTAAGTAACTGAAAATGGTTTTTATTCCTTGCCAATCTGGGAATATGCCTTCTATGTGTGTGTGTGCATGTATGTTTGTGTGTGTGTGAGCGTGTGTGTGTTAAGTGCTGTATTAGTATGTGTGTATGTTAAATGGCTGTATTAGTGTGTGTGCAAGTGCTGTGTTAATACTTTTTGAAAGAAAAGGACACCTAAAAAAATGTATCACCCCAAAACTTCAATCTGAAATGTCTTACATTAAGAATTTCTTGAATGTTGTGTATATATTTTTAAAAGCACTTTGTGAAATAGTTTGTACATTTATTTCCTAATTTATACATGATTTTGGTGTTAATATATTTAATGATTAATAATAATGTTTATTTAATGTTTTGTTCATTTTTATGTAATTTTGTGGGGAACAGTAATGCCAGCAGTTCTTTTTCATTGACTGTATTACAGCTTTTTCTTCTGTAATGTAAATGTTCTGGGAGTCCTAGGGGAAATGAACCATTCATGCAGGTGTGGTTGACTGTGCGGGTTTTTTTTTATGACTCCTACCGAAGGCCAGAAAAGGTGAAGTGGGAGATTTGGGAATCGCTACTCATTCTTCCTCCTGTTTCCCAGCACCCGTTCAACACGTGGTGAACGTGACCAGTGATGATTGACGTTTTCAGATGTGCTTGGCAGAAGCCCCGCGTTGGGGGCTATGGTTGGAGAATGGACGCCTCTCCAGAAGCAGAGCACAGCACAGTGGGAGACTGGCCATGTCTGCAGAGGCCGTGGACCGGGAAGAAGTGTCTGCCTTTCCCGTCGTGCTGGTTTTCAGACGTGGGCTTCAGTAACGAGCGTCCATTCGCAATTGTAAAAAGAGGAAGACTTTACGTTTCCATTAAAACATTTTTTTAGCCACTACTTCATTTCTGTTTATCGAGCAGGTTAAATCCGCCTTGTTGTTGTGAGCGCAGTACCCTCTCTCGTTTTGACCCCTTTTCGTTTGGTTGGTTTTGAGACAAGACTCAACCGTGCATCCCTGGCCGGCCTCAAACCCTGAGGCTAGAATTAAAGGCGTGCTCCCCACCCTGGCTTTTTTCCTGGCCTGGAATTCACGGCGATCCTTCTGCCTCGTCCTCCTGAATGGCGGAGCTGCAGATTCGATCGGAAGCCGCCCGTCGGCGCCCGCAGAGGAACGCGGGCTTGGGGGCGGCGGCGCGCTTTCTGCGTCTGCGCGCTGGTGCATTGCGCAGCCGCGGCCGGAGCTCAACCCGGAAGCAGTCGCGCGGCCGGATGGCGTAGCTGCCCGGAGCCGGTGGGTGCGAGCGTGGAGTTTTTCCCCGGTGTGTGTTCTGAGACTGAGGGCTGGCTGGGTGGCGAGGTCTGTGGGGATGGCCGGTCCACCCCGAGCCCACAACGCTGGTTTCTGAAGATGTGCCCTTTCCCTTAGAGTGTGGCGGAGCATGCCGGGAAGCTGAGGCCGGAGGGTTTCCAGGAGTTCGAGGCCAGGCTAGCCAGCATAGTGAGACCGTGAACAGAAAGCAGTGGCAGAAACTGCCCCTCGCCCAGTCTTTTGGAAAGCGTTTATGGACGCGCTCCCCGGGTCGAGACTCGCTTGTAAGATGCAGGCGCTGCAGTGTGCTGCCTCCCTCCGGCAGTTGACTTATCCTGAATCCCAGCCTCTGCTGCTTTGTGGGAGCATTTTTTTTTTTTCTGTTTTAAATCAGGTAAAGAAGATTCTGCTCACTGAGGACCGATAGAGATGCATCTGTACTGGTACTCGGCCGGAGTTTGTTCCTACGCAGGAGCCTGAAGGACTAGACTAGGGAACAGTTGTTCCGGAGCTGCCAGGGGCTTCCCTCCTGGCGCAGGAACCCCTCCTGGCGACCTTGAGTGCTGGGGGAGGAGGCAGTCGTCCCTCCAGTCTGCTCTAATGAAAAGCCCCACAAGACCCCTTAGGGCAAGCGCCACACAGCAGCTTAGTTGGAAGGAGCACGTGGCTTTTTTTTGTTTGTTTGTTTTTGAGACAAGCTCTCCCTATGTAACCCTGGCTGGCCCGGAACTCAAGAGATGCCTGTCTGGCTTCGAGTGCTGGGATTAAAAGCATATGCCACCACACACAGCAGGGACACTTTTTTTTCTCCTGTGACTGGCATGTAATTAAGTGAAAAAGAAAATGTAATGTGCGTTGTCAAGTGACAAAATAATCCAGTTTCTAAACATTTTCCACATGAAAAGCGAAGTAGATCACAAATATATCTAATGAAGCGTAACTGTGTAGCAGAAACAGTAATGCCCCTGTGGGATTTAATATCCTCCAGCAAAATGGAAATGAAATGCTTAGAATTAAGTTAGTTAACTGTAAGTACTATGAACCAGGTTGAAGAATAAGTGTTGGGTAAGCGTATGCCATGCTTCCGGTGATTATCCTATGAAAGAACAACACAAGAAATGGAACTGTTTCTCAAGTGCTTCTCTCTCTCTCTCTCTCTCTCTCTCTCTCTCAGACAGGCTTTCACGTCTCTCTGGCTACCTGACTTGCCTTGGACTTGCTGTGCAATAAAGGATGACCTTGAATTTCTGATCTTTCTACTCTCCTGGGTGCTGAGAACACGGGTAAGTGTTGGCCTGGCATACCTGGTTTGTGTGGCTCTAGGGATCAATCCAGCGCTTTGTGCATGCTAGACTGACAAGCATTCTACTAATGGAACTATATCCCCCTTCCCAGGATGCTTTTTTTTTCTCAATGGAGATATTGTGACATGTTTCTAATCCCAGCTACACAATAAATTCAAATCAATACAGTGTAAAATCAGTACAGAAGATGCCTGGCAATACCTTTTGTGGGACAGTAGCCAGGAACTCAGCATCCTGGATAGCAGCCGTGAACTGACTATTATGTAAAACCCTTCACACTGTCAGTCCGTTCTCCTTGTTTGTGAAAGCCCTGCTGTATAGCCTTAAAGTAAATGGCTGTCAGGCTTCAGGCCCAGTTGAGGCACTGTTAGAAGGGAAGAGAGCACACTCTTCTAGGCTCCCTCTGCAGTGTGCTCTGGGTAGACCCCACCCACTAAGACTGTCTATGATGACAGTGTCCTGAGCTTTGTTGCCTGGCATAGCCCTTGTGGCCTGTGGCACTGAAGAACTGGAATCTTACATTTTATTTACTCTTTTTGTGAGAGTTCATGCTCATGCATGTGAATGTGCCATTGTACACACATGTGCACCTGTGTGGGCAGGAGGACATCAGGTATCCTGCTCTGTCATTCTCTGCCTTGTTCTCTTGAGATCGGGTTTCTCCCTGAGTCTGAAGCTAGCCAGGCAGCCCCTTGAATCGTCCTATTCCAGGCTCCCTGTCATGCATGTGGATTATGGGTACATGGCCACCCCAGCTTTGTAAACAAACGAATCCCAACTCAAGTCCTTATGCTTACCCCGCAAGGGTTCTTGTTTACTGCGTCATCTCCCCAGCCCCGTTTTATTTAATTTTAACTTTGCCAGTCCCAGGTGGCTAGTAGACACTGGATGAGACCGTGCAGAAATAACATTAGGAACACAATTAGAGGCTGAACAGCAATGGGAAGAAGACTGACTTTATTCCCTGGCAGGGATCCACATCACTCAGAGTCTGCACACAGATTGAGAATTTGGAAAGGGGTGGGCTGTGGTGGTACACATTTGGTCTCAGCGCTTGGCGGCAAAGGCAAGCAGTTCTCTATGAATTCCAAGCCAGCGAGGGCTATATGGTGAGACCTCGTCCCCAAACCAAACCAGTACACCAACACAGGCCCGAGTCCAGGTGGCTTTGCAGCTGCTCCTGACCTTTGGGTTTGGCTCCGCCAGTGCTGAGATGGTGGACAGCCTGTGCCTTGCAGATTTAGCTGCTAGTGGCCAGCAGGTGCCCACAGCAGATTCGGGAATTTTGCTTTTCCCTTTAACCTATGTGTTCCTATTCCACCCTACCTCTCTCATCCACTACCTTAGGACCTCGGTAAGTTACATTCCTGCTCTTTGCTTTAGTATCTTTCTCTGTAAAATGGGGATGATAATAAAATAAATTGCTTTATAGAATTTTTTTTTTTTTTTTTTTTTTGGTTTTTCGAGACAGGGTTTCTCTGTGGTTTTGGAGCCTATCCTGGAACTAGCTCTTGTAGACCAGGCTGGTCTCGAACTCACAGAGATCCGCCTGCCTCTGCCTCCCAAGTGCTGGGATTAAAGGCATGCGCCACCACCGCCCGGCGCTTTATAGAATTTTTAAGTAGACAGAATGAGTTAATCCCTGGAAACCACTTTTTTTAAAAAAAAAAAAAAAGCAGAATTCTGCAAGTGGTACACTAGAAGACTGGAGTATTTGGTTGCTGGTTGCTTGGTTTAGTTTGATTGGTGGATTGGTTTTTAAAGCTGGGTCTCAGGTATCTCAGGCTGACCTCATACTATATAACTGAGGCTGGTTAAGCCGCCTGACACGGGTGCTGGGAACTGAGTCTGGGTCCGTACAAGAGCGGTGCACGTTCTTAGTCACTGAGCCATCCCTTGCCCCACAACATCCTCATTCTTTGACCACTGGAGCATCCGAAAGTGCCAGTTTGCAGGCTTGAGCATGGGCATCCCTGCCTCCCCCTAAGTCCCGGGTACCATTCATGCTTTCACATAAAGTATGGCATGCTTAGGCCTGGCCACTCGTCCCTCCTGTTTGCTAAGGCATTCATGGCACACCAGCTGAGACCCAGCTGCAGAGGTGGCCTTGTGCTCTCACACCAGACCCTGCTGGTTACTGGCCTCTAATTTTACTTTCTGTGAAACCTGGGTTTTGGTTCTGGGCTACACTGACCTCACAGTGATCTAGTATGTGTAAATTTGGGGTTATTTCTTGATAGCATTTACCAGGAATCTACTACCAAGTCTAAAATTTGGGACTATTGTTTCCTGGAAAAGGCAATTTCTTGAGGAGATGTAGGGTTGTTTGTTGTTGTTTATTTGAATCTTTAAAGATACGTCCATTTGGTTGCCAGGCAATGGTGGTGTACACCTTTAGTCTCAGCACTCAGGAGGCAGAAGCAGACGGATCTCTGACAGTCAGGACTACACAGAGAACCCTGTCTTAGAAAACAATATTAAGAAATAATGTCCACCGCCGGGCGATGGTGGCGCACGCCTTTAATCCCAGCACTCGGGAGGCAGAGGCAGGCGGATCTCTGTGAGTTCGAGACCAGCCTGGTCTACAGAGCTAGTTCCAGGACGAGCTCCAAAGCCACAGAGAAACCCTGTCTCGAAAAACCAAAAAAAAAAAAAAAATAATAATAATGTCCATTTGACACAAGGTATTGAGTGAGTCTCAGAGTCCCACATGTGAAGCGTATTCGTCACCTCTCTGTAAGTCTAGTCATTCCAGAGTAATTTACTTAAAAAAATACTTTCCTGGACAGGGCTTGTAGCTCAGGGGTAGAGCATTTTCCTTGATATGTGGGCCTCGGGTTCAATCCCCAGCATTGGTAGAAATGAAAACAAAAACGAAAAACTTTTCAGAGGGCTCAGTGGTTAAAAGTATGTCTGTGCACTTCCCGAAAACTAGGGTTCCATTCCCAGGACACACCTGGCAGCTCACGACTGTCTGGAACTCCAATTCTAAGGGCTCCAAAAGCACTAGATACACATGTAATACATGCATGTACTGCACATGCATGTAGGCAGGACACCAACACTTATTAAATATGGTAATAATTTAATATTATGGTAATAATATGGTCTACAGAGTGAATTCCAGGACATCCGGGGATACACAGAGAAACCCTGTCTTGGGGGGGAGGGAGGCACTTTAATAGAAGGGTAAGAGGAGAAGGGTATCCCCATAAATGGCAGCCCAGCATGGGAGAGGAGGGAATGGGCCATGAGGCTAGGCTGGTTACTGGACACATAAAGAAAAGCCATAAGGAGAAAGGAAGTCACCAAGACAGAAAGCTTTTGGGCAATGCTAGACTGCAGGAGTAGCCCTGTGTCTCAGTTGGAGTCTATAGCTACGAAGGGACACCATGGCCACTGCAACTGTTATAAAGGAAAACATTTAATGATTGCAGGTGGTTTACAGTTGCGAGGTTTAGTTCATTGTCCTCATGGTGGGAAGCATGGTGGCATGCAGGCTGACGTGATCTGGAGAGGAGCCAAGAGTTCTGCGTCCAGATCAGCAGGTGGCAGGAAGAGTGAACCACAGTCCGCCCCCAGTGACACTTCCTCCAACAAGGACACACCTCCCAATAGTGCCGCTCCCTATAAGCCTATGGGGTCGTTTTTACTAAAGCCATCACACTCTGTGAACTTTAGTTTCCAGCAGGTGTATGCGTGTGTATGTGCAGGCAGATGGGTGTAGACCTGACTAAAAGTGTAAGTGTGGAGTGTGAGGGAGAAGCCAGGGTGCCTGTATACTCCCAGCAGTGTCACACAGCCTCTAGATGCGTGGTCCAGGGCTCCCAGAGGAGGCTGTCTGCAGGACTCTGCTGGAGGAAGACATGGCTGAGGCCGCTGTGGACATGGAAAGGTGCTGAGACCCATAGCACTCCAGGATGAACTTCTGCTGGCCCTACTGCCAATAGCTCGTGGATTGCCCTAGGAAGATGTGCCTGTATAAAACTAATAAAGTGGTAGTGGGTAAAGGAGCAGGAATCAGGATGCCTCCCTAGGTCCCTGCGACGTAGTGGAGTGTCCCTCCCTGTGGAGCCAGAGTATGGCCCAGCATGCTGTGTATTCAGCAGCCCCGCTTTCCTGTGCCCACATGGTTTGTGCTGTCTTGGAAGCGTGCCTTTACATCCCTAGCTGCTTTTCCTGGTGCAGGGTGTGTGGTGGGAGTTGGTCCTCACCCTGGAGCTGCAGGAGCCCATGTAAACTCATTAGAGCAGAAGTCACTGGGGCTCAGTGGCTCTGGGTCAGATGCTGCCATCGCTCTCATCTCTCAGGAAATTGAAAGGATGGGAGCTGTGTCCCCGAGGAGCAGAGGACCGAGACCACGAGATGCGTTCATTGTGCTCTCAGCAGGACAGAAGCACAGGGCACACCGTGCAGTGTGGGTTGGCCTGTCCTTGCCCAGTCTTTCCACTTTCAGGAGGCTGAGTCAACAGCCGTGTGACCTTCCCTAGGTCCCCAGCAAAGTGGCAAAGGTGACATTTGTCTGGGTGTGTGCTGCCGTTGTCCAGTGTTCTTGTGTTCCTGTTTAACAGAAGCTGCCCAAGAGCACAGCACACTCTTCAATAACAATTCAACAAATGGCCATTTTTATTTTGGAGAAATTCTGACTTGAGGTTTAGATTCCCTTTTAATAATCTCAACAAGCAGGCACCTTACATTCTCCAGGGAGATTCACTCACCATTGTAAGAGATTCAATTATCTAAATCCTGCATGCACAGATCATGGCCTGAGTGCAGATTGATGCGCATCACAAACCCCAGCTCAGTCCATCAGTTTTCTTGTTTTTCCTGACGCTATTCTGCCATGTGGATTCTGCCTCATGCCAGGCCCTGCTCCAGCTCTTGCCAGAAGTTCATGTTTAACCCAAGTGTCTCACTGGATCCTTCTGGCTTTTGTTAGGGCTATGATACCTACCAGACTTGTCTTGGCAAGGTCCTCTGCTGTGTTGGGTGTTTCAGAGTGGGCTGCATCGACGTGGGCTGCCCTCAAGCCCAGCCAGCTCCATGCACTGCAGGCATCTTCTCGACTGCTCTCTTTGGGCATTCAGGACCGCGCTAAGCACCAGGAAGCTCCTGGAAAGAAGCCGCTGTCAGAGAAAAAACTGGTGAGTCTCAGCCTAGGGAAGACACATTTGAGTTCTCTCTCTCTCTCTCTCTCTCTCTCTCTCTCTCTCTCTCTCGTGTGTGTGTGTTTGTGTGTATACGTGCATGCATGCACATGTGCACACATCCCTGTGGAGGTCAGAGTAAAGGGTAGATCCCTTGGGGTTAGAGGCAGTTATGCACTACCTGGTGTGGGTGCTGTGATCCAAACATGGCTCTCTGGAGAGCAGCAAGTACTCCTAACTTCTCAGCTGTCTCTGCAGCACAGCCTTTGCATTCTTTATCCCACCATGACTTGCCCTCACGGTGCTGCTGAGGGTTGCATGGAGCTCTTGAAGAGGGGCCTGTGTGCCAAACCCTTGCCAGCAACACAGCAACCCAGGAGGAGTCAAGGCCAAGTGGAGTTAGGACTGATTTGATTGGTTGGTTTAAGGTATTAGGGATAGAAGCCAGGCCTTTTGCATGCTAGGCAAGTAAATCCCTAAAACCTTATTTTAGTTTTTTGAGACTGGGACTCATGTCATCCAGGTGCCCTTTAACTCCCTGTGGAGCTGAGGATGACCTTAAACTCTGATCCTCCTGTCTCCGTGTAGTGGCATTTCAGTTGTATTTTAATAAATAAAACAACCTGAAGACCCCAAAAGCAAAGCAGCCAGCCACTGGCTCTTATCTCGACCTCAGTCCGAAATGGTGATCCTGCCTCCAGGAATCTCAGAATGAGACTTTGTCTGAGAGCTGTTTCCTCCCATTTTATAATCCTCTCTAGTTCTGGGATTAAAGCCATGCACTACCCAGTTTCTATGGTAACTAGTGTGGCTACCGGGATTAAAGGTGTGTGTCATTGCTGCTGGCTGTAAGGTTGTCCAGGGGAGCTGTTTTACACTCAGATCTTCAGACAAGCTTTACTTATTAAAATATAATTGAAATGCCACTACACTCCCTCGTGGGAGGATTCAGGCATGTGCCACCCTGCCCAGCTCTCCTGAAAGTGTTTTTACCTACATTTCCTTTATTTATTTGCAGTTAGGTGTCTTTGAGTATTCAAGTTCTGTTTTGAAGCTGGGTATATCTTTAGTTTAAGTTCTTTAAGGCTTATACTGAACAAGATGTTGTTAGTTGGTTTGTATAATGTATGTAGGTGCATGCGTGTGTGCAGGCGCTGTGTATATGAAGGCCAGAGGACATCTCTGTGTCATCCTCCAGAACACTGTCTACTTCCTTTGAGTCAGAGGCTCTCATGTCTTGCTGTAGCGACTGGCTGGCCAGGGAGCTTCAGAGAGCCCCTATCTCTGCTGTACAGACACATGCCACCACTCCAGCGCTCAAATTGCTTTGGGTTTTTTGGTTTTTGGGGGGGGGGGGGGGGTTTGTTTGTTTTTTGTTTGTTTGTTTGTTTGTTTCTGTTTTCCTAGACAGGGTTTCTCTAGCTTTGGTGCCTGTCCTAGAACTAGATTTTGTAGACCAGGCTGGCCTCGAACTCCCAGAGCTCCGCCTGCCCCTGCCTCCCGATTGCTGGGATTAAAGGTGTGCGCCCCCACCCCTGGCCACACCTCCCGAGTGCTGGGATTACAGGTGTGCACCACCCCTGGCCACACCTCCCGAGTGCTGGGACTAAAGGTGTGCACCACCACTCCTGGCCACACCTCCCGAGTGCTGGGATTACAGGTGTGCACCACCCCTGGCCACACCTCCCGAGTGCTGGGACTAAAGGTGTGCACCACCACTCCTGGCCACACCTCCCGAGTGCTGGGATTACAGATGTGCACCACCCCTGGCCACACCTCCCGAGTGCTGGGACTAAAGGCTGCACCACCACCCCTGGCCACAGCAGCACTTTCATGTGAGCGCTGGGGATCAAACCCAGGCCGTTATGCTTGCATGGAGGCTCTTTACTGACTCTCTCCCCAGCCCTTAGAAAGTTTTTATTCTGTTTGCCAGAACCTTTGACTAAAGAAGTTACACATTAGGGCTCTCTCATTTCCTCCTAGTGGAGGGTCTCTAGGTGAGCAGCTGAGAAAAAGCCATGCTTCTTAGGGAAAAGAACTTTGGCAGGCAGGCTGAGGGACATAGCACCTAGATTTCCAGGGCTCTCTCCTCCTGGCCGCTCATGCTTGTTTTGAATCTTTCCTGGTGTTCAGCCTGTGCTCTTTCCTGTGAGGTGGAGTCTTTGTTGGCATGGCACAAACTCACATCGTTTCAAAGTAGCAGCTCATGGTTTTCCTTCTGCTGCCGAGGAATCCCAGGATGTTTCTTTTTGGAGACTTTTTATTTATTTTTGTGGTGCAAAGCATCAAATCCAGGACCTTAAATAGGAGAGAATACTGTACTGCTGAGCTCTGCCAGGCTGGGCGTCCTTTTTCTTAAAAACAACCCAGTCCTGGTGACTGGTGCAGTGGCTCTGTCGTCGTTACGAGCATTTATTATTCTTGCAGAGGACTTGGGTTCGGTTCCCAGCACCCACAGAGTAGCTCACAACTACCTGTAATCCTAGTTCCCAGGGATATGGCACAGGCGTTACACACACATGGTACCTATGCGTATAGTCTGGCACACACACATATACACATAAAATAAGTAAATGTTCTAAAAATCCAGTGCTGGGAAGGAGGAGGGGCTCCAGCTGAAGGATGAGCTGGTGTGTACCCGTGTGTGTGTGAGTGTTTTGCCAGCGTGTATGTATGTGTGCCACAAACATACCTGCTGCTTACAAAAATCAGAAGAGGGCTTTTGGCTGCCCTGGAATTGGAGTTACAGAGGTTTGTGAGCCATGTGGGTGTTGGGAATTGGAACCAGTTTCTCTGCAACAACAGCAAGTGCTCTTAACTGCTGCACCGGTCTCTCCAGCCCAGCTGGCTAGTTCTTATTCTTTCACTGTATTGAGAGCCTAAAGAGAGCCCTCCTGAGAAGGGTCTCTCTCCCTTCCTGCATTTCATACACAAGCCCTCAGGTGCTACCACTAGAGAGTCGTCTTTCCTCATAGCTAGAGCCTGGGCGCTGTCCAAGAACTCCGCCTCATTCCTTCCTCAGCAGCAGCGTTTTCCACTGGTAAAGACAGAGCTGGTGTTTTAACAATGTAATTCTGCCTGAAAGAAGCTGGAAGGACACTTTGTTCAGGAAATGTTTCCTAAACAAGCTGTGCTCTCCAGGTTAGAATTTCTGAGTTCCCTTTTGAAGTGTGCAGGCCATACCAGACACCCACTGTGTCGGCAGTGATTGGCGTCAGCCCTCAGGTGCTGGTGACCTCTGGGAGCTGGGCCTCACTGGCGGCTTTGGAGAGCTCTGTGAGGGCCATGTTAGCATAGCTAGCCTCCGATGCTGGTAGAGGGGCTTGTACCAAGGGGGTACTCACGTGTATGGGTGTCTCCTGGAAAGGTTTCAGGGTTGCTGACATCGCTGGGTGCCTTATATTCTCTAGAAAAGACATTTTGTGGATCGCCGGAGAGTGCGGGTCCGTGGAGGAAACGGAGGCTCCGGCATAAGCTGTTTCCACAGTGAGCCCCGCAAGGAGTTCGGAGGCCCTGATGGCGGGGATGGAGGAAATGGTGGCCACATCATCCTGAGAGGCATGTGCCCTGGGAGCAGCTGGGGAGGAGACAACAAAATAGCCTCACTAGTGGTTGGAACATCCACTGTCTTATCTTGTCACGCATTTGCATTCACCCTTGATGCATAGATATCATTTTTATAAATTATATGGCTGCTCATCACCAGTGTACTAAGGCGAGTGACTTTGGATGATAGATAACATGTAACAGGGTCAGAAAGTGCAGCAGAGGGCCTGGGTTCTACTGCGCACATGCTTGCTGTGAATGCCCCGGGAGCTGGGCGCAGACATCTTTATAGTATAATGAAGTTTGCTGGTTTCTTTTATTTTTCTCATTTTGTGTGTATGGGTGTTACGCCTAAGTGTATGTCTGTGTGTCTACACATATGTGCCCCACAGAGGCCATTGGATCTCCTGGATCCAATGTGAGCTGCCATTGGGTGCTGAGAATCAAACCTGGATCCTCTGGAAGAGCAGCCAATGTTCCTAATCTCTGGCCCATCCCTTTAGCCCCTTAGGTGACTTTTTTGTTTTTGTTTTTTTAATTGATGATAGTCATATTTGCTTCATATGGTGATGCCTTCCTGTTGCAAGTTTCGGGTCAGCCAGGGCTAATAGGATGCATAATAAAATTCTGTCTAAGAAAAGGTCATATTCTATTTTGGTTAGGATAATGGAGAGTGTGGGGAGCCAGCCATATGCCCAGGCCAGGGGAGGGCAAGGGTAATAAGTGCGAGGCTGCTGTTCTCTGCGTGACAGCTGTGTTGGCTGTGTCTTAACACACAAGAAGATTCTGTTCTCATTCTAGTTGACCGGCAAGTGAAGTCCTTGTCCTCAGTCTTGTCCCGGTATCAGGGTTTCAGTGGAGAAGATGGTGGCAGCAAAAACTGCTCTGGACGAGGTGGTGCCATCCTCTACATCCAGGTGAGCTGAGGAGCTGGAATGGCCACTATTCCCTTGGGTCTTATCACTGAGTCCACGGATGACTACTGGCACCTGGGTAGGAGCAGAAGGCAGCCAGCAGCTGGACAGCGGTCTGTCGTAGGAGTCACACCCCACAGCCAGCAGCTGGACAGCGGTCTGTCGTAGGAGTCACACCCCACAGCCAGCAGCTGGACAGCAGTCTGTCGTAGGAGTCACACCCCACACAGACTCCTTTTCACTGGTGTGCCATGTTGCTTCTGACCCTAAAGAGGAAGCCAAGAACATACCCCCTTCCAAGTCTGGACGAGGGTGGCATGCTCACGCAGGGCTGGTTCCCTGGTGCCTTGTTGATTCTGACACTGTAGAAACATTCAAAAGAGTCCCTTGTCTAGGCGGGTGTTTGCTGTTGTGACAGGGCCTCACTGTGTGGCCCAGGCTGCCCTTGAACTTGTAATCCTCCTGCCTCAGCCCCCGAGTGCTAGAGGCAAGTGTTGCCATGACAGCTTATTTATGCAGTATGAAGCACAAGACTAGGCCCGTAAAATCTCTTCAGGGCTGGGACATTTCCTTTGTGGTAGTGACAAGGAGAGTAGTTAGCAGTGTCCCCTCCTCTTCTGGCTGGTACAGACCTTTATGATGATGATGCTTTTCAGGTTCCTGTGGGTACCTTGGTGAAAGAGGGAGGTGAGGTTGTGGCTGACCTGTCTCACCCAGGGGATGAGTACGTCGCTGCACTGGGGGGTGCAGGAGGAAAAGGAAATCGCTTTTTTCTGGCCAATGACAACCGTGCCCCTGTAACTTGCACCCCTGGACAACCGGGTCAGGAGCGGGTCCTCTACCTGGAGCTGAAGACAGTGGCGCATGCTGGGATGGTAGGTCCCTGACTGCCACACTCTGAGGTGGGGGGGTCCCTGCTGGTGGGGCAGCTGCTACCTGGAGAGGACAGCAGTTGTCATTCATCGCCTGTGTATGCTGCTGACAAGCAGGTGCCTGCACACTCCCCTTCCCAGCCCAGTCTCTGTGCCAGCCATGTCCCTCCATGAGGTCACATGGCACTTTTACTTTTTCTCTTCTAGGTTGGCTTCCCCAATGCTGGGAAATCATCTCTCCTTCGAGCCATTTCAAATGCAAAGCCTGCTGTGGCTTCCTACCCATTCACCACCTTGAACCCTCACGTGGGGATCGTTCACTATGAAGGCCACCAACAGGTAGCAGGTAGATCCTCCAAAACCCTGCCAGAGGATGGGTTTAAATGGCCCAGTGATTCAGGAGAGCAATTATGTAACCCCTGAATTTAGCTTCCCACTTAAAACGAGACATTGTTTTCCCTGATTGAAACAATTTTAATGAGTCTGTTCTCTGTCAGAATCAGCCCCTCCCCTCACAGCCAGGAAATCTGATCTCTGTGGTTGGGAACTGTGATCTGGAGTCTGAGCCTGAGGAGAGGGCTGCCTCTCGCCTTCCTCGCTCTCTCTGTGGAGCTGGGCGGCATCCGTCATGCAGGCAGCATGTGGTTTAAAAAGCCTTTCCTGTACCATTTTAAGAGGAAAACTTTTTTCCAGAAGATAATGTACCCATTAAAAATAGCAAGCCTGCTGGTAAGGTTATTTGTACAGCACTTTATATCTGCAAAGTGCACGATAGTGATGTGTATCCATAATCAAATTAGCCATAGAATGTAGGGAGCCATCTCCATTTTTGAACCATGTTTGAAGCCTGGGAGACAGGAATGTGTAAAGCTTGCTCATTAGATTGGTCCACTGTGCCTGTCACCCATATATTCCAGAGCATGTTGCAGACCCGGGGGCTGCAGGGCCTTGATGTCGCTTGGCCTGCTGAGTCACCTGGGAGAGGATGAATGACTTCAGTTTCAAGTGTTCCTTGGAAGGACAGCTGTAGAACATGAGATCTGGGCCAGAAGGGGTCTCCCTGAGAGGAGCCTCCTGACCCCAAGGTTTTGAGTGGCATTGAGAAGCCAAACATGACCTTGGACCTGACGCTAGGCTCTTTGCTCCCGCAGTGGCCGACATCCCGGGCATCATCCGAGGTGCACACCAGAACAAGGGCCTAGGGCTCAGCTTCCTCAGGCATATTGAGCGATGTCGCTTCTTCCTGTTTGTGGTAGATCTTTCCTTACCTGAGCCATGGACTCAGGTTGATGATTTAAAATATGAACTAGAGAAGTATGAAGAAGGCCTGTCTGAGAGGTCCCATGTGATCGTCGCAAATAAGATTGATATTCCGCAGGCCAGAGCTCACCTGCCCCAGCTCCAGGCCCGCCTCGGGCAGGAGGTCATCGCCTTGTCAGCACTGACTGGAGAGAACCTCGAGCAGCTGCTTCTGCACCTCAAGGCCCTGCACGATGCCCACATGGAGGCCGACTTGGAGCAGGGCTGCCAGCCTCTCAGGTGGTAGTGGGCCCAGAGCTGCATGCCCTGCCTAGGCCAGCATGGGGCAGGAGTGGCCGGCAGTCACAGGAAGCAAACGCAAGCGTGTTGTAAAATGTGGGCAGCTTTTAGCACCTGAGAGAAAGTACTTGCAAATATTTGAGTGTGTCAATGTCTTTGTTTTCCCACCAATTTCAGGCATACTCCTAAACTGCCCCTACCCTCTGGCCTAGGGTATAGAGTATTCTGTGCCACCTGGTACCTGGATGACTCCCAGTGCTTGGTGTGCCTGTCACCCTTACTGCCTGCTTTGCTGAGGTTGACTCATTTGTGCTAATTAACACCTCATTAGTAGGAGGACAGTGCTGCTGGCTGAAGGTAGTAGCAAACACCGCTGCCAGGCAGCCTGGGCAAATGCAACAGCAGCAGAGCCATGGCTGGGCTTCTCATGCGTGGCAGCATTTGAGACAGATCAGCCCTTGGTCTCCTTGTGGGGGTCCTGCAGAGCCCCGATGCTGGCTACTGGGCCAGCATGTCAGGAAGGCAGGGTGCCGTGGCCATACTTTGTTCCCCAGTGCCAGCTGACTGAGGAAAACAGCGAGGGCCAGCTCCTTCCCTGTTGTTCCCAGAACGCTGTGCTAAGCTCTGTGGGGGCTGAACACCAAGGCAGCCTTGAGCTTCACGACTGAATGCACCCAATATCCGACCAGGCACGCAGCCTCTGGCTGTGCATCCGTGATGCGCCAGCATGTTGTCAACCACGGGAGATGTGAACCTTGAATTTCTGACATTATTCCTGATAGGTAGCCTCAGCTCAGCGTGGTGTGTGAAAGAATGGCAGGGGACCTGTCCCTGGTGACAGGTACTGTCACCGCTCTGCCCTGCCCTGTAAGTCAACACAGGCCTATTTCCGCAGGAGGGACCTCTACTCCTCCAGGCACTGCACTTTGGAGAGTGACCCCAGGTGGTACGGACTAGGGACCATATTCCCAGAATGTTCCCCCAGGGAAGCCGATGCCCTAATGTGGCCCTTAGACGTACAATGAAGAGACAAATGGAAACAAAAAGGCCCATCTTTTGGGGGGACTCCTGCCCTAGAGTGAGGCTAGTCATGCTTCTGACACACGGACAAGTGTCCCTCTGGATATTGGGGTGGGGCTGCTGCAGCAGCAATCCTGCCCTCAGCTTTCCGGAGCAATTCCGTTGTGATCTGCAGCTGGAACACGGGGTCCTTTTCCGCAAAGCTTTATTCTAATGTCTTATAATTTCAAAGGTCCTGGCGTTTGCGAGGCCAGGGCGGGTCTCATGTCTGTGGCTTTCTCTTTCAGGCCACCGAAAAGGGTTTTGTAGTCAGGCCAGGCCTGAGAGCATTAATTATCCACCACTGGCTTTCATCTTTGCGGCCGCCGTGCTCTGGAGACCTCAGAACGCCTCCCTAGGGCCTGGAGACCAGGGGTGGGCTGACTCCTCAGAGCAGCTGTGTCGTGGGAACCACAACAGTCCTCAGTCCGGACTCAGTTACACAGGCTACTGAGGAATGCCAGAAAGCTTTCCCCAGAACCATGCTCGCGTTTGCTCATCATCCTGGGACCCCACCTCCACCCCCGGAGGCTTGTTTCTGAAGCAGGGCTCCTCCCCAGCTGGTGTCTTCTCCCCACAGGCTCTGGTTCCATCATTGCTTCCGGATGAGTGTCTGCTGGTCATGCCATTGCTGCATGCATACAGTGCACACATACATGTAGGGGAAACACCCATACACAAAATAAGTAAAGGGGGAAGGGAGGGCTGGCAGGTCAGCTGGTAAGAACACTTATGCCCTTCAAGGGGACCAGAGTTCAGTTCCCAGCACCCACCTGGAAACTGAAAGCAGTCTGTAATTCCTGTTTCGTGATCCAGTGCCCTCTTCTGGCCTCCAAGGACACTGCATGCTACACTTGCAGGCAAAACACCCATACACGTAAAAGAAAAAGATTGTACTGTTTCAGGCTGTGGTGTGGCATGGTGGCAAAGCACTTGCTTGGCATATGCCAGGCTCTGAGTTCCATCTGCAGCAAGACACGTGAAGTAGTGATGGGGGTGGTACATGCTGTTGTTGTATTTGAGAGGCAGGAGGATCAGAAGTTCAAGGTCACATCCTCAGTTCCAATTCCAGTTTGAAACCATGAGCTACATGAGACCCTGTTTTCAAATAGTTCACAGTGTGCCACCACGTGTGTGTAAGCCTTCCAAGGTTGTGCAACCATCTCCACTACCTATTTTCAACACAGTTCCATTCCCAGAAGAAACCGCTGTCTGCAGTGGCAATTCCCCCTCCCCGGGTTGCTCACAGCCCAGTCCACCTGTTCCCACAGACTTTACCTCCACTGGACTCCCTGTAAGTCGGGCCCAGGGGTGGTCAGTTACCTGGCAGCAGCAGCTTTTTTTTTTTTTTTAAGGTGCGGTGGGATTTCGAGACAGGGTTTCTCTTTGTAGCCCTGTCTGTCCTGGAACTAGCTCTGTAGATCATGCTGGCCTCAGACTCAGAGATCCACCTGCTTCTGCCTCCCAAGCACACCTCCATGCCCAGCTGTGTAACAGCATCTTAACAGATGCCTACTGTGCCATCTCTGAGGTGGCTACGGCTGCCTTGTTTCATGGAAGGACCACAGGCAGCATGGAGCTGTGATGGCCTCCAGTGTAGGGCCTACGGTGGTAGGCTGTTCCCCAGCACCCTCAGTGGCTCTGACCCCAACAAGGTAGCTAGTGAGTGTGTGTGGATGTGGGGTGAATGCGGGGACAGGTCCCAGGCTCACTCGAGAGACAGTAGCATCCCTTCCCTGCTCTAAGCTGAATGCCATGCTTCTCTTTTGGCCATTTCCAAAGAGTTGTTTGGGCTTCTGATAACCGTTTGGGGCAGAGAGGGGCTGCTGTGCCGGGGCCAGCTGTCTGGAGCACACATCTGCCCCGTGTTATTTCCCAGTCTCGCCTACGTTTCTGGATTCCTCCCATCTTCCAACACCTGTCCCCACGGACTAGTGACATTTCCCAGACACCACAGCAAGCCAGCTTCCCTCTGCTCCTGGGTGCTCTCTCCTGGCATGTTTGCCTGTAGGGTGTAGCCTGCCTTTGCTGGGGCTCCACAGTCTGTCTCCTGTTGACAGTCATCTGCCACCGGTTCCCTGTGGCATCTGTGCTGCCTGGCTGGCTAGGAAGCAGGACTGAGGATGGAGCCCAAGATCTGGGGTACAGAGTTCCCCTAGGTTTCCCAGCCTTTGGCTCTGCTCCCTGCTCAGACCTGCCACTCCAGGACCCAAGCCTCCAGCTCCTTCAGGGCTTCAGAGATATACCAGGAAAGAGCCTTGCTATCAGCTCATCCTCACAGCCAGGTCTGTCAAGTTGTAGAGGTTCCTCTTCCACTTTGTTTCCTTCTCTACACGTAGAGCCCCCTGCCCTATCTTTCCTGCTTTTGTTGAAATAGAACCAGGAACAGAAAATGCCTACGCAAACTAAGGGGTGCTGCAGGCTTCCCAACCAGTTAGAACCTCACCAGGTTTCCCTCCATGCTGACACACGTCACGGGAAATGACTGGATGGCAGATGGCATGGGACGTTGGCTGCCGCTGATAAGTACAGCCTGGCCCCCACCGTTCCTTCTGGGCGCCCCGTGTCTGCCCTGACCAACAAGGAGACACTGACTGGGCCTTCAAGGCTCACACTCTGCTATCTGGGCCCACAATGCCCACACACACAACCTGGGCCTACTCTGGTGGAGAAGCCCAGCAGAGATAGAGACCCAAGAAGTAGTGTGGGACAGAGATGAACTGTCTACGTATTAGACAAGACCAGAAATCTGGGTTGGCGGGTGGCAGGGAACCTTGCCTCTTAATACTCGGGGAAGAGCCTTTCCAGAGTCGGTGCCAGGGGACCTTGCCTTGTGCCTGAGTTACTCTAGTCCCTGCTTCCGTCTTGATGGACCATCTCCCTCCCTGCCCCTCTACCCTGCTCTCCTCTCCCTGCCCCCCTTTGTGGACAGAGTCTTACTATGTAGCTCAGGATAACCTCAAATGCAGAATTCTCCTGCCTCAGCCTTCCAAGTACTGGTATTTCAGGTGTGGGAGACCACACCAGACTTGTTCTCTTTTTAAGGGTACCACTCTAAACCCAGATATCCTCACGATCCTAACTGACCACTGGAACTAGAGAAGCAGTTCAGGTGGTCAGAGGCAGGCAGCAGGACTGATACTCTGAGTCTACATGTGTGAAAAACAGCTTAGAACTTGGTGTTTGGCCAATATCGGGCACCAGTGAGAAAATGAAGGCATTGTCGCGATCCAGGCACAGCAAAACCTACCTATAGTCCCAGCAGCTAAGAGGTTGAGGCAAGAAGATGAATCCTAGACTACGCATCAACCCTGCCTAGAAACAAAACATGTTCCTGAAGCAGACAGTGGCGGCTGCCAGCATGAGTGCACTTGATGCCACTGAACGGGCACTTGAGGATGAGCAAATGGGATTTCATGTTGATACTACCCCGCAGTGCCAGGTTAGCCATGCAGAACTGAGCTCACATGACCTGCACGTGCATGGGATGGGATAGGTTGGGATGGGAAAATGCTGAAGCAGATGTCAGGCTTGCTAGCTTGGCCCTGCAGCTGCTGGGCATCCTGCCTGAGGTTCTACCGGGAACCAGGTAAAGGGAATTTTTTTTTTTTTTTTTTTGGTTTTTCGAGACAGGGTTTCTCTGTGATTTTGGAACCTGTCCTGGAACTAGCTCTTGTAGACCAGGCTAGTCTCGAACTCACAGAGATCTGCCTGCCTCTGCCTCCCAAGTGCTGGGATTAAAGGCGAGCGCCACCACCACCCGGCTTAAAGGGAATTTTTTATGTACCACAGCATGTGGATCTGCAGAAACCTCAAAAGGAAGAGTTTAGGGAGCATCTCTGGAAGAGGGCCCAGCTGCAGTGGTCACCTGGTCTTCAGCTGTGCTCAGAGCTGCTTGCTGAGAGATGGGCTCGGGAGGGAGCCCAGGGACAAAAACTGCTTGCAACTGCTGCCTTCCTGGTGTCTGATGGGATGGTCCAGCAACTGCTTTCCTCTGCTAAGACACCTGCCCTCATGGTGGCACTCCCGGGTGAAAAGCCTCATTAGTGCAAGCTGCAGGCCATGGACGGGCTGTTGG